CTGATTTTCACAAAACTCGCAATCCGACACGATGATTCTCAACATTGCCTCGTCCCCCTGTGCGGTTGCTGGGGAATCGAACTTCCAAACCTACGTCGCATTGTCGATAAGAGACCACGATCGGGCTCTGACCCCGCTTATGTGCTTAACTGCAACCACGTTGTTTGCGACAGATCGAGAGCGAAACTATAGCCGGGGCATGATCTGTGGATTCAAAGAGGCTCATGATGCTGCTGTCCAGATATGCCCCATTAGTTTTATCTGATATCAGCCAAGTCAACCAGCAATGTATGCGGGCCTTTGTACCAGAAAGTTTGTCGCATGTTCTGAAACATGAAGCTATATGGATTAAGAGCTATATGCTAAGGGTGTTTGACTACCCCAGACATAAATCAACTGACTCAAAGAAATTACTTATTGTTGATGGCCCTTCCTAAGTCCACAGACTCATATAGAATGTTCTAATCTTATAAACCACGTCATCTCTAAACATGCTTCCACATAGTAGACTACTGTAGCCCTGCTTAATACACAGTGCGGCCCCACCGAGATAAACCGACGTAGTAACGTGGGTTCCTACGACTTTGTATGGCGTATCTGCCTATACAGCTCCGTCTCGAACTCATCCCGGAGTGCAATCACCTGGGGATCCGACGGAGGGAGGTGCTGGAAGAAGCTCGTCGCACATACTCCTGTCTTCCGATCGACCCACTGGTATCATCCATCCCATCAGCGCTCGCCCTTCTTCCGACCAGCAGACCCAGAAAGGCACTTACGAAATGAGTATTGATATGTCCTCCCCACGAAACTGTGCCATCCGCACGACCATCTGGAACATCACCGACTGTGACTGCGACGGCCAGCCCGAAATCGACTTGATCCCCTGTCGTAAACGACCATTTCATTGCTTGCGCTGCCGGCATATTAACTTGCTGGTTCAACCTTATCCTCACAGCTTCCGGCAGCTGAGGCCGAAAGATCTCATCCACGCTTTCGGGTCTGATGACTCCTCGACCTCCTGCCAGAAGAGCAGACAGAAACTCGGTGAACTCGCGAGGGGTGGAATACAGTGACCCACCGCCGAGATCGTCCGGCGTAGGCAGGGGGAATATCTCTTTGGATGGAGTTAGGGATCCGTCTTCGGTGCGCAGGGCGATCTCCACTTTTCTCTTCTCGAAGTCAGGCAGTGTCTCCGGGTGGAAGGTGGTAGATTGGAGATTCAATGGGTGGCAGATGTTCTCGTGAATAAACTCCCCGAGTCTCTTTCCGGAGAGAACTTCGACCTACATGTGCCATGGTTAAGTGCCGTACTGAATCAATGGTGCGGTCAGAGACCTACCACTCGTCCAGCCCAGTCCACTCCGGGTCCGTATCTCCAATCCTCGCCCGGTTCGAAGATAAGAGGGTAGGTGATTGAGTCCTACAGTTGGGCGACGGCTTTGGTCAGTTCATTTATCAGCGGGATTTGCAGAAAGGGAACGGAGTACATAAGTTCCCTGCGTGTGGTCGATGTTTCTCCCATGATACGCAGCCCACTTCTGCAGATTCTCGCTCATCACACTATATGTGAAGCCGCTTGTATGTGTCAAGAGATGGCGCAACGTGAGCTTCTTCTGCGTTCGATTGATGATGGGTTTTCCTAGGAGGAAGATTGTCAGCATGGCGGTTCCTCTGGCGACGGGAATCTTCCTCAGGAACAATACCATCTTCATCGAATCCATACAGGACCTCTGGCGCTGCCAACTCTGGCACAACCTTCCCGACATCATCGTCAAGTGAAATCAAGCCTCGCTCAACGACAATCGTCACAGCGACGGCCGTGACGATTTTGGTCAAGGACGCGACCCAGAAGATTGAATCTTCGGTGACTGGAGGGCCGGCAGGGTCCGCGGTCTGGGTGCCTTGGATAATGGAATAAATTGAATCTCCCTGAGCATTGTATGCAGCCAGAGCGCCAGCGTGAAACGGTCTAGGGGTCTTGTCGTAGTGATCCGAAAGGATAGTATCCATTGCGGTCGTTTTCGTTCGCCAGGGAGCTTACTTTTACAGAGAGTCCGACTGCCAGCGATTTCCACAGTTTATATATGCATCGACATCGTTATTATAAAGTAAATGGTTTAGTATTTAATCAACAAGTGGAATCCAACCTCAAATTGTCACCAGTCGGCGTCCCAAAGTGGTAAAGCAAAACGAACACGGGACACGACCGGGAACTAAGCCATACTACATACATTGGCGACGGCCTATTCTCATCTCCACAGGGATATCTACTCTATTTGGTCCAAGTGATAGTTTAAACACTAGGCAAATACAGACGAGGCTCGCTCATTGGGATGGGGCTTATTCGTCATGCACTTGCCCGTTTGATCATAGTCAAATGCGGCAACATGTGCGTACATACTGTGATGAACCATTCCCGCGGAAATCGCAATTTGGTACTCCGAACTCTATATTTTATAGAACGTTGAAGCATCTCCGAAGGAGAGTGAAAAATGTCACTACATGTACTTGTCGACTGCAAAACGAGTCCTCAAAGCTTCGCCGTAGCGGTAAAACAACCACGGCACTGGCATGAACGACAGCGTGATAAAGCCCAGCACACTATTTCCCCAGCCCAGTCCCAGAGTATCATACAGAGGGGCGGCAGCGAGATCCAGAAAGGCACCAAAAGGGGATCGGATGAGGAGGTTGGCCGCGAGAGCGGACGCCGCCGCTGCCGACCCGAAGGCATCGACGAGATACATCTGGCCTGGGATGACGACGAATAAAGAGCCAAAGCCAATTATGAAAGTCCCGATGATTGGCACTATCCAGTGAGTATGGTACTGTGCGCTCCAGCCGTACATGAAGCAACCCAATGGGGCGATAGGACCAAGCCACTTCATCAGGATAAGGCACTGTTCAGGCTGCGCTGTGCCTCCGTCTTCCGCCTGTCCATGAAGCTTATCGCTAAGGATGGAGAAGAGAACTAGACCGAAAAACATGCCCAGCCCTAGGCCGAGGTAGGCCAATCCCGAAGTTCCGGCGTCGAATCCGTACACCCCTTGAAATACCGAAGGGAACGTGGTGAAAAGCAAGAAGATGAGGCCGAACATAATCCCGGTGTATAGCGAGATAAGCAGGACGATTGGTGAGAAGATCAACAGCTTCATGGGACGTGTAAGGCCATGCAACAGCATTCGGGAGGGTGAGTCTTGTTGTTTCCTCTTGGGCTCGGCTATCCTGGCTTTTGCAACCTCTTTGCGAGTCCAGCCTGCTTTTCGATTCAGCAAGACAGCCGCGCTCGTCTCCCGCATTAAGACCCCAGTGGCGATGCCGAGGGCTCCAGACTGACAGTAAACTTGGTTAGAATTGTATATCATACATAGAGGCGACTCACTTTACCAATATCAGAATGATCCGGAGCGTCCAGCGCCAGCCTGCGTATTGGGACACAAACCCTCCGATGATTGGTCCCAGCACCTATTCCCCGAAGCCTCCTGTCAGTATCGAGATTGCCAGGTGTAGCTCTTCAAGGGGTGATCACGTACAGGTCCTAGGTTTGGGCCCATGGCGAATAACGCCATCGCCTTTCCTCGTTTCTGGGGAGGGGTGACGTCTGCAACCGTACCACCTCCAATACTCATAGGACCTGATGCAGCGCATCCGCAAATAAACCGAAAGACCAGGAACATACCCACATTAGTGCTGAAAGCGCAGCCTGCTGTGAACGCAAAATAGACAGCGTTGCATATGTGGTACAGAATAAGGCGCCCGTATAGCTCTGAGAGAGGCGCGAAGAGGAGAGGGCCAAAGGCAAATCCAAGCACGTAGAGGCTAACTGTCATAGCCTCAATAGTTGAATCGGTGACTCCGAATTCTTTCGCCAGTTGTTCTGCGCCGGGAGCAAACATGGTGGCAGCCAGGTTTCTTGAACAGCGAATTAGCGACAACTTACAAGTCATAAGCTTGGGTGGTGGTTGTGATACTTACGCATTAAGCGTCAAGAGGCCGACAACCGCGATGTGTAGGTTTCTTTTGCAAGACGACCAGTTAAGCGGATTCTCGGGGTCATTGGGACCGTCCCAGCCAGTTGACTCCAGTTGTGCAGATTCCTTATCCATTTCGTTTATAACAGGTTCGATGCTCTTTTCCTTTATCTGCTCTGGCTGACCAATAGCCCCGATGAGACTTGCACTAGAATTCAAAAAGATCCGATCTGGCCATAGTTTTAATTTATACAAAAGATAGGTCATAGAGCCGTTGGCAATATTAAAAAGGACCCCCAGAGAAGGCATTCTAGAATTAGCGGATTTGAATCCTTTGGTCGGGATAAGGCACTGCATCTTCTCCACCACGAGGACCACGACACACATATTGCTGGACTATCGGCGCGGAGCATCGGGGCGGGCCATCGGAACGGGCCAAAAAACTGGAGGATACCAACATCTATGTAAACACCAGGCTACGCTAATAACCAAGTAGACTAGGGTGAAACACAGGGATTACCACTTTTGAGGCGGGGCTGACGAACGATATCATATCACCTCCTCGTCAAGCGACTTCAAGCCAGCTTGACCATAGCTGGCCCATCAAATCAAGCTGCTGACCTGTGGCTCCCGCAATACTCACTCGGATTATCTTCCTGTTTTATTGGCTACATCAAAAACATGGCAGATCACGAAGAACCTCAACTTCCGGAATGGGGACCGGGCAAAACAGCAAGGGGCAGAGCACGTCTGCCATCTAGCAGGCGTCGAGAACGACCGCCGCTTTCCTGCAGTCTCTGCAGACAAAGGAAGTGAGTCTCTTCTTCGAAGACAGTCTCTTAGTTTAACGGGCAACATCTCAATCTTGTCGATCGCAGGATCCGATGTGACCGACAGCAGCCATGTGGGAATTGCACAGACCGAGGTTTAGCTCTTTCTTGTACTTATATCTCAAAGCCGATTGATGCTCACCAGCGGCGGCCAAATATTCAAGAGAGGATTCAGCAATTAGAGAATCTTGTGGTCAGCCTGATGCAAACCGCGTCAACGAGTAGCTCCAATCCAGCACCTTCCGTACACCGGGATTCTCCCATAGCTTCGGCCGATCGATCGTTTGCTACTTCCCCATACGCAGACCTCTTCAAAGGCAAGTCATCAGCACCTGATTGCGGCAGTTTACAGTTGACTCAATCGAGTACCAACTATGTCAACAGCGCTCATTGGGCCGCCGTTCTTGATGGGATTGCCGACCTGAAAATTCATCTCGACGAGGAAGGCGAAGTGCAAGATGATACTCCGCTGGATGAATTCTCTGTTGCTGAGAGGGGCGGTCCTCAGCTCCTCTATGGGTGTACGAGACCTGTGACTAAGGAAGAAATTCTGGCGACGATTCCAGAGCGGCCGGTTGTCGATCGATTGATTTCAGGCTATTTCAACTCATTCGATATGTCACCAGGTTAGCTCACTCCCGGCACGACTGGTATGCTTTAGACTAATGGAGTATCAAGCGGTACTGCATAGTGTCGAGTTTCTGAAGGAGGTATTGGAACTCTTCCCGACAAACATGCTTACAGCTGACGGCTAGATCCAGTATGAAAGATTTTGGGAAAACCCGTCAGAAACGCCAGTTATATGGCTGGGCCTCCTGTTCACTATAATGTGCCTCGCAACCCAGTTTCAGAAATTCAGATTACATCCGGGGATCCAAACGCCCGCATCCTTGTCAAGAGAGCACGACCTTGAAAGCAAGATTGAATTTTTCCGTCAGAAGGTTGTGCAATGCCTTATATTAGGAGAGTATGCCAAAGGGGGCCCATATGTGCTCGAGACGCTCATGTTGTACATTGCCGTGGAGGTATTCCTCCGGAGTGACGCCGAACTCGGGGTATGGATCCTCCTGGGAACGATAGTACAGCTGGCAATGCATATGGGCTACCACAGGGACCCGTATCACTTCCCCAGCATGTCTCCCTTCATAGCGGAGATGCGCAAGCGTGTCTGGGCTACGGTTGTCGAGCTTGACATTGGACTCTCTACTCAAATGGGCCTTCCTCGACTGATCAAGCATTGGCAAACTGACACAGGAGGACCGTCGAACCTTCACGACAACGACTTTGATCCAGACACGGCTGCTATGCCGGCTTCGCGACCCGAGACCGAACTCACCCCCATGCTCTACCGCCTTGCCAAGGCAAGAATGATGACAACAATCGGCTTCGTGTGGGATCTCGTGACTGACACAAGGCAATGTCCTTACACAGAGATAATGAAGATGGATAACATGCTTCAAGATGCGCATAGCGCAATTCCACCATGTCTCCGGTGGGTTTCTATGGCCCACTGCATTATGGATTCACCGCAGGTGATCATGCAAAAGGTGTTCTTGGAGATTATGTTTCACCGTGCGCGAATTGTGTTGCACCAGAGATACCTGCATAGCTGGCAAGCAGACACGCAGAACGGCTACTCCCAGCAGGCGTGTCTAGATGCGGCGCTCAAACTTCTCGACTACCAGCACGTTCTCCAAGAAGAAACGCAACCGTTCTGCCGATTGTATCAGGAGCGATGGCGGGTCTCTTCTCTGGTTAACCATGATTTTCTACTCGCCACTAGCATCCTGTGCTCCTACCTACAGCGAGCTCATCCCCAAAGTAAAGCAGGTGCAGGCGCCGTCGCCGAGGCGACCATCTGGACGTCACTTCAAAAAACATACGACATTTGGGTCCATTCTAGCAGCTCTTCGAAGGAGGCACAGAAGGCAGCGAGAGCTTTGAAGGTCATTCTCGGGAATCGCAACTGTATCAATATCGGCAAATCAAATGATGAGACAAACTCATTGCTTTCGCACATTCCGCTGGCATCATTTCACAATCATTCCATCTGTCCGGATCCGCAAGGTAACTGCGGAAGACATACCTTCCAAACTTTACCCTAGTATGGAGCTAATAAACGTATATTCAGGGAATCCCGCCCGTTTCAACATTCAATTCCCGCTTTTTGATGCGACGGTGTTGACCAATTGGTCTGTGGCAAATGATGACATTGAAGGCTTTCCAATCACGACACCTGCTTCCAGTATCGACTGGCAGATGATAGACAGTAGCGCTTTGGTAGCCCATTTTCCTCCTGGCTTAGCTGACAAATTCCAGCCGCGATAAACGGTATGCAGACTCACGGTGGCGAGAGTTTCTAGATTTCAGATGGTGGTGCAAGACTGTTAATCACGGGTCACATTTCAAATGAACAAATGGTATAAATGATGGAGGAGTACTACTAAGCGCTATGGTGGAAACCTTCTGTCCTAGGTGGGTTGGGCTACGCAGTGCAGCAAGCTATCATTGAAGGGGCCGTATGACGAGCAGATCGAAATACCAGCCTTGAAGGGCAATGTATACTACCCTGGAATGTGTGGCTATCATTAGCTACGAATGCTTTATGGGGTAGATCTAAGTCGGGCTAATGTCTCACTTCAGAATAATATCCGACTGTGCTGGTCTCAGTCTAAAAACAAAATACATCAGTCTATCGTTTAGTCTGCGGTCTAGCCCTGTTGCATGTGCCAGCAAGCTCTGCTACGGGGTATAACTGTACATAGTTTGTCAGGAATTGACATGTAACACGTTGAAGCTTGGCACATTGCCTGATTACTATCTCTAGGCCAACTGTTATAATTTCAATTCTAAAAGAGTAGCTAAACAAAGGAATAAACAATGACCCCAACACAGACCAAACATAAGCTCACCTTCCCATGTGACTGAAGGCACCACAATACTCTCCCAACTCCTTTCAGCTGCCACGCCTTCAGTGTCCTTAGTGGTAGCTTGGCAGTCAGGAACAGCTCTATGGCGCGTGTCTCTCGCCGCCTGGAAGAGGAAGGAATCTGGTATCGACTGATTTCAAGGCAGTAAAGGAAAGAAGGACTGAAGGAGGAGAGGAAGATGGAGCGCCGACAGGAAGATACCGAGATATGTGACAGGATGGTCGACCCTTTTTCAGCCACTCAGCAAGCGGGGTTGAGTCCTACAAAATAGGGATCGTTGCCCGCCTATGTAGGCTGGATATGAAGATGTCTCATTCAGAAGGGTTCTGGCTGCCCTTCCTTCCAATCAGTCACAGAAATAACGCATTGTAGGTTGATCCTGAAAAGTAATCTAACAGCCGGCTAATACAAGTTTGCGGGAGATTACCATCCTGCAGGATCGACATTGTTCAGGGCGTTATTTCCGACTCTTGGTCCCCGAAATTGTGTACATCCGATTGGATGGGGAACGTGGGATAGGGCGATCACAACTACCGCTTAACCTTGAATCTGTGGCAGCCAAGCCAAGCGATCTGTCTCTTCCTTCTGCTGCAGAGATTGGGCCAGATCCAGCCGTATGATGATACAGCACTCCTCTTGAAACTCGAAGGAGTGGCTGTGTGCTCTCAGCAACAGCATAAATACAGTTACCGTCCTGTACGGTATGCTGAAGAATAACTACATCCAAGTCCCCTCTCACTTTATGCCCTACTGAAGTTGAAACTGTTCCTTTTATCATTTTTACTGATGGCCATCCTCCTCTCGCAACAATGAGTGCTGGTTGTTTGTTGAATATCCACCGGAGCACCTCGCGACTCTGGTTGTGCAAGATCCTAATCCGCCAGCTCCACCCATGCCCATACCTGCTCCGGTCAAACGTCAGAACGTGCCTGTGCCTGCGCCTGGACCATCACCCACACCAGTGGATAAGTGGGAAGCAAACATTGACTCCGACTAGATCGTATTCAGCGCCAGTCATGTGGTTGTGTTGAGTGCATGCAGAGGACTGATCGATCGGACTCAAGGGGATGTGTCGTGGAAGTCAGGCACTCCGCGTAATATCTGCTCTATTGGATGCTGCATCAGCTGGAGTGTGGGTACCACCTTCCAAATCAACAATTCATACAATGCATCTCATGGTTTTGACAATAGCTGTGTGAACGAGCCATGTAGGGTGAGCTGTGAGGCACACAACATGAGCCTACCTGGCACCCCTGTCAACCTCTGCTTGAGAATCGTCCTGACGGATGTGCCTGATCTGAGGAACTGTGGTCGTTTACTCTGTGGACCAGAATTGGTGATTGTGGACGAGGTATGGTGCGAAAAGGCACTTCGAAACAGCATGCAAGAGGTCTGGCTGGTGTATCTCAATAATTCTTGTATTGACCAAGAGGTGTGTGTTGAAGAGCATCAAGTGTATGGCTGGCCCATAAGGGATGCAAGGAGTTGCCATCGCAGATGGACTGATGGCCATCCTCGAAGAACCGTGAGCGCAGCTCATGGTAGCTGTTTGTAGAGAAGCATTGGGGAATGTTGGGTCAGACCCTTATTCAGTTGCTCTAAACCGCGGCTTTATTCCACGTTACTGTAACTAGTGCTTCATACCAGTCATCGTCTTGCTTTTATCTTACGATATTATAACGAGTTCAGTCTACCTGCCTTACGCCCCAGGCATTCTTATTCCCACTCTTGGCTCTTTCCTCCGTCCTAATGCTTTATTACTAAGGAGTTGTTCCTCGAGAAGCTGCTGGGACTTGTACCCGTCTACTCTTTCCGCCATGCCGTGGTAGATTGACGGTGCCATCTTTGCTGTTAGGCCAGGGGATCCTACTGTAGTTGATTTTGCGGCCGGGGAGGAGTCCTGTGGCTTCCGTTAAGAACACGGCAGTTATATCAGCAAACGTGCTCTAGGGCGACTACACTGCGGACTACGATATGAGGTTCGAACTGAATATTAGTTACGCGATCCGACCGCGAGTACTGTCTGCTTGTATTTGAGCCACCGGGTCGAACGCAGGGACAGAGCCTCCTGCAACTCTTCTTATAAACCTTTGTCCTTGAGCAGCGCAATCACATGCCCAGCGACCACCTCACCTACGAGATCATACCCCTCGGCAGTGAAATGCAGTCCATCATCCCAGATTCTCTTCCTGAATTCCTCTGTGGCGTTGTGATACGGGATTTTCCCGTGCAGGTCAAACGCGTGGCTATCCCAAGATTAGCTACTTTGCACTATTCGCATCTGTATTGAACTCACAATCCCTCCGCTTTATGACCGAGTATGGATGAATTCACATCGTTCCTCCTCGTGTCGAGCGTCTTACTGGCGACCGAGCATTCCGGGATAGTCAGGGCGAGAACATTTGCGCCGCTGTCTAGAGCTACCTCCCACACCTCTTGCAGGGCAGGGTATATCTTCGAAGCTGGATAGCCTCTCCCGAGATCACTGCTGACGTTAGCATCAGGCCCCTCCAGCCGTAAGGACGAAGCAACATACTTTGTTCCCCCGAGAACGATAACCCAGTCATAGTTGGATCCGTCAACTGTTATGGTCAGACTCTGCACCGCAAGAAAGATAATGGACTCAACACACATTTTTCTTGGATCCGAGGCAGAAATCGTCCAGGGCTGATGACTAAATCGCCTGGAAGGCCGTCCTCGTCAACGGTGAATGTGGTGGTGGGAAAGGCTGCCTGCAGTTTATCTTTCAGTGTCAAGGCGTATGGATGATACTCGCATCCAAAATGGTAGTATCCGGCTGTAAGGGAGGCGCCGAAACAGAGGATTGAGATTTCCTTGTCCATTTTGGATATTCAGCTGGGGTCTTGTTGCGCATCTCATTGTCTTATATACCCCGCATCGATGTGACACTTCATAACAGAATGCGCCAGACGCCCAGACCTAAAGTAGCAAGCATCGGTCAGCCGGAAAATCCTTCTCATTGGTCATTTCACCATCCACGTCAGAATGGGACAGAGCCTCTCCAGATGAATAAGTGAATGCAAGTGAAGAACCTATTGAGTAATAAAGAAACCCTCCTAATCAGGATACCACTGCAAATGCCAAATGGCGGGTTAACTAGTGAATATCCCTCTTCAGGGCTATATACACTCAGCGGAGCTGGTAATCCAACAGATACCTACTCAATCTCGCCATTTCCTACTTCGTTTCAGCTGGCTCATCATGGCTGAGCACTTCAAGCAATCGGTCCGCTGTCAAATGATCCGAGACATGCTCCATCCGATGGACATAAACACACTTGCCCCCTCGAAACACCCACTCGCCGCCGTTCTGCCCCCAGCTACCCCCTCGAAACGCCTGCCACCCACTCCGAAACATCTGTCCGAATGTTTTTCCAAGCGCACCGAAGAAAGAGATCTGCGCATAAGAGGGCGGTTGAGTGAAGTGTGACCCCGTCCTCTTCATGTGCAGCTTCTCGTAAATCTTCCCCGTGCGGTCCGTGTAGATGGGGAACGTGGCTTCAGTCTCCGATACATAAGGGACAATGCGTTGGGAGTCACCGCAGCCGATTATGATGAGCTGCGATGGGCCGGTGGGGTTGGGAAGGGTCGAGAGGACGGAGTTGGTGAGACGCCGCGAGACTACGCGAACGTAGTCCTGATCATAGGCGCAGAAGAAGTGACGGACGTGGATGGTCAGCGGATGGGAAGGTGAGTAAGGCAGCGTGGGTAAGAGACATACTGAAAATCACAATCGTTGTGATCTGGGCTCCTTTTCCTGCGACTAGCTCGCCGAACCGGATCGTTTGGCCATTTTGGGATTGAAGTTCGAGCTCGTAGGCTTCGGCGAGCTCTTTTGGCTCTGGGAGGTCGTCACATCTGGTTATAATAGTGTCACTCATAGTTCAGGTGGTCGGGATGTATGTTACATTGATTGTATCATTGTGTTGATGGACTTCCGAGTTATGTATTAGGAGAGACCAGATGAATCATCACAATTCATAAGCAGGACAATGGTCATGCGACCAGGATCCATTCAGAATGTGATAGGTGCTAGATGAGAATCGGCATCACAGGTACCAAACAAGGTCGTGATGTCATGAAGTTATTTAACTTTCCACGCGAACCAAGTTCACATATGTCAACTTTAACAGAATAGGAAACAGACTAAAGAGGTAAATCTTATTAGTCATGACAGGTCTTATTCTGAAAAAGCATATACACCTGAGTTTATCCTGGTTATACCTTGCTTCACCGCATAATTTAATCAGATGCATACATAGTACTCGACCAATTACTGTAGTGCGGTAGACTACCTAACCCTATCAGTCTTGCCGCCGTTACAGGACCGCTAAGCATCTTCCAATATGACTTATGCTGGAGTGAAAGTACGTAGTTAATGGGTGAGAGAAAGAATAATGTGCACAGTAGTAAACTAATAATATAATAAACCAAGTGTACAACCACATTATATATATAACTCTATAGAGTGTGGCAGAATGTCTTAATACAAAGTCTCAACCCCTAGTCTACCACGAGTACAGATTACCATCTAACGCCGGTTAGCCCTGTACCTTGGTGTTCGGGATATAAGCAAAACGGTTTCTAGCGGTTTAACCACTGACCCCCTGGATCCGACCTGACCCGCCCCTAACCCGGTGCGATTTCTCAATTAAGGAACCGAATCGAACCGCTGCGAGTTCGGTGACGGTTGGATTCGATTTTAGCGGTTCGGTTATGCAACTCTAGGATGACCTTGTGGGTTTAATATTAATATCTACTTTAATTAGTTCGATTAACATGTCATATTCAATAAGAGGACCTCAGAGGCCTTTAAATTAATAAAATAGGCAGGATTCTGCGGAAGACTTACTATGAAAGGAAGAAGGAACAGTATGGATCCATAGAGTTAGAATTTTAATCTAACTAATAAGAATATGCATACAGAACACATTAAAAAGAGCATAGAAGTAGGGAAAGGAAAAGGCAACAAAGATCACCTCATAATAAGCTATAAGGGCTCATAACCTGTGAGAGAGAATGAAATGATTAACGTGATATATAACTATCTAAGATAGAAGCTATCTACGAGGCAGAAGAAGATGGTGCTAGATTTGGAAGCGTAGGCAAAGAGTATCTTTCACAACTTGAATTTCGAAGCGAGATACTTCGGGAGATGTCTGGTGGTAACCGTCCGATCGCGAGGTTTTCAAGTAGGGATGATGATAACTATAAGTACATTGTCTCGGCGATCAAGGTTCGCAGTTCACCGTCCAAGGCTCTACAGCCCGCCACAGCCGATTGCCCTAACGTGCCTGGAGAGCCACGAGAAATCCGAAATCCTCACCCCGGTAAGACAAACCCCCAGATCTGGTCTCTTACATACCGAGCCTAACATTCTATCCCCAGTCAATCCGCTTGTGAAGTTGCCGCATGCAGAGGTAGAAGTACCCTTATATGAGGCCAACAAGGAAGTTGAGGACGTGCCATCATCAAAGGTTACACTGGGCCCGACGGCCTGTAAGGTATCAAGACATCCTCAGTGCCTCATGGACTGCAGAGCCCGGTAACATCATTGCCCAAGTGCCCTTGGGCAATCTCCACATAGCGGCCACGCCTGTAATCCATACGGACTGATGTTTGTATGAAAATATATATGGATTTTTCATAAATGGCCACGAGCTGCTAGAACATAGCAAACATGTATTTCTGAAGTGAGTAAAACTACTCACTTGGTCTTATTGATATTCCATAATACGAACCCAACAACAGAGTTTTCTGTTAAATGGGCTTGCTTATGAGGATACGAGTCGGCTCAATAGACCATCCGAACTGTGACAGCGTGAAGCCGAGCGATGGAGAGTGGCGGATACGATGCGCTAATTTGGCCTCGTGTTCCTCCGAAATATCCCTAACTGCACATCGGTCTCCATAAAATAACTGTTCTGCCTGAATCTCACCATGACCGACTTCGACGAGAGAACGTCATCCTCTGACTCAACGGAGCCTGCATTCCTCCGCTTAACAGACTGAGTTGCTTTTCGGGCAATTTCGACTACTGAACGGGATGGCTATATCAGTCACCTTGCCTGCTCTCAACCCGGCATCATGGTGGGACTAAAGGAAAACGAGAAATTTCCAGATTCCTTATTTGACAGACAGAGGGGGGAAAATACATCTTTTCGTCCCTACTCGTACAATGGCTGAAGAACCTGTTCTGTCAGAGCGCAATGGCTTGGATGAATCTGGCCAGGTTTCACCAAACGGGACTAAAGGTCTCACGCCAGGATTGCCCGAGTTCACGCTTGGCAAGCGTGGTATCCTGGCCTTTTTTACGCTATCGGTGTTGACCTTGATGGTTGCGCTAGATGGGACTTCTATCTCTGTCGCTTTGCCTGTACGTGTGTCGACTACCCTGGATGCGCATACTGAGCGCGGACACTGACGAAACTTGCAACAGATCATCACGCAAAATTTGAAAGGAACGGCAATTGAGGCATTCTGGAGTGGAACTTCTTTCCTCCTTTGTTCGACAGGTACAGCATCCAAGTTAATGCCCTCTATGGCACATTTCATTGATCCCGCGCGCAGTCTTCCAACCAAACTTCGCCTCTTTCTCGAGCATCTTCGGTCGACGACCGCTCGTGCTAGTTGCTCTCGTCTTCTTCTTCGTGGGAACGGTTATTGCTGCCGTAGCCAAGAATTTCACCTACTTGCTAGTGGGCCGATCGATTCAGGGCGTGGGAGGCGGAGGACTGATCGCCCTCAGTGAGGTGATTGTCACTGATCTCGTGCCCTTGCGTCTTCGAGGCCAGTATTTTGGTATATTGTCCGCCATGTGGAGCGTCGGTTCAGTCACCGGGCCTATTCTTGGAGGCGGATTCTCTCAGGACGTCAGCTGGGTAAGCCTCTTTCGGGTGTATGGACGAGATCGGACAAGTAGGACTTATCGGAATCCCAGCGCTGGATATTCTACATCAACTTCCCCTTCATCGGAGTGGGGGCCCTTGCTATCCTCCTTTTCCTCAAGCTGAACATTATCCCTACCTCCCTGGCCGAGAAACTCCGCAAAATCGACTACGTCGGCACCGTCTTGTTCGTCGGCAGCCTGGCTTCGTTCCTGATTCCATTGACATGGGGCGGCGTTCTTTACCCCTGGGATTCATGGCGGACCCTTGTCCCTCTAATCATCGGCGCCTGTGGCCTGGCCGTGTTTGCATACTACGAGACTAGGTTCGCAACGGACCCAATTATTCCGCCAACGATCTTCCAGAACCGTACCGCAACTGTATCCTTCATTGGAAGTCTTCTACAGGGACTCGTGCTCTGGTGTGTCCTCTACTATCTGCCATTGTACTATGAGGCTGTGAAAGAATACAGTCCTATTGTTTCCGGAGTCGCGCTATTCCCGGAGTCTTTCACGGTAGCCCCTAGCGCGATGGTCGTGGGTATCCTCACAACAAAATGGGGCCATTACAGGTGGGCTATCTGGTCCGGATGGCTCCTCTCAACGCTCGGCGTCGGCCTCATCTGCTTCATCAAAGTCAACACGAGCATTCCCGCCTGGATATTCTTAAATATTGTTCCCGGAATTGGCCTGGGTCTGCTTTTCCCGTCCTTAGGGTTCGCAATTCAAGCCTCAGCCACGAGCGATACTCTCGCCATTGCCGTGGGCATGTTCAGTTTCTTCCGAGCCATGGGCCAAGCGATTGGTGTGGCTATCGGTGGCGTCGTGTTCCAGAACCGCATGTACCACAATCTGCTAAAGTACCCGTCTCTCGCGCCCAGAGCTAGTGAATACAGTCAGGATGCGGCGGGTTTGGTCCAAGTGATCAAAGAGATGCCCGCCGGTGCGGAGAAGCTGATGCTGCAAACTGCCTACACCGATAGCTTGCGTATTGTCTGGGCCGTGTGCTGTGCTGTCTGTGGGGTGGGATTGCTGACCAGTTTGCTGACCGAGAGCTATGATTTAAACCGGGCGCTGGAGAGCAACCAGACTTTGCGGAATGAGAAGAATGCCACCGCGGACGAGGAGTCTGGCTAGGGGCTTGAAAATGGGTTAGATTCTTTGATGTGCTGATGTATAATACCTAATTAGACACTCCCAGCTCTCGTTCTACGATACAAGCTAATCGATATACAAAGCTGCTTCCTTCAAGGCCTCAAGATCTACATTGACTCCGGGAGATAACGCAGGCATAATAAGGCTCCTATTGTATTGCATCCTAGATTGATTGATCATTTGCCTTCATTTATCTGTTTTACCGCGCTCGAGAGCAAGGCTCTTTTGTATCACAACGAATAAAACAACCATATCTTGTTCGTGCCTCTGTAAAAAAGATTGTACCAAGACACCACTAAAGTCAATATCTCAGACTTTTTCTCCCACGAACGCGCATTCAGAGGCAGATATATTGACACAGACTGTCGATGCTCTTCCTCTCTACTTCAAAATCGACCTTTGACAGGAAATAGTATTGGATACCCCCGAGTCCGACTGGATTGTGATATATCTTTCTTCGTTGATAATGATCCGACAGTGACAATTCGCATCGTCGCCCTCAAAATATGCTGCTTGAAGCCAGCCGTGCTATCTGAGTTAGAGAGAGTGGAGGTGAGGGACTGCAGATGATGCTGCGAAGCTGATGCCTAATTGGGATCCTATTGCCAAGGCAGCAACAGCACTAGTGAGCGTGGATAGGTGACTTGTGATATGTTTGCTATGTAGGTGATGGGGTCTGGGTAATTCTGTGGGTTGGAATAGTACAGGGTCTTCGTGTCGCTATCCACCCCGTGTGTGTACTCAACTGTTATGGACGGATTACCCTTGTGGTCTGGGTTAATAATGTCCCCCTGGCCTCGGTTCGATAGTCGTCCCTATACTTATGGATCAAGCTGACACCGTAAATTGGCCCTGAGGTACGTTCTGGGCTAGCTTTTGCTTGATCATATGTGGTCATTTGGCCAGAGGATAAGGCGCAGCTAATGGAGAGTGACAAGCCGGCTTTCAGATAAGGGAGAGCGGCTACGAGAATCTTCGAACACGGTCTGAGCTCACTGGTTATGGAATTTATTTGTAGGTAATTCTATCTTTCTAACTAACTACTTCTACTTTCACCTAGGTAACTACCTTATGCTGCTGGATTGCTGATTCGTAGTCTATATCAACTATCTTAGTGGTGACAACATATCCAGAGTGATAACTGTTAGTAACAAGATAATATAGCCAGCACCAAATAACTAGTAGAAAAGGAGTTTAATACTCTCCTTAAACGAGTTAGCTATTAGAGCCTGATAAAGGACAGCAGCTCAGCTAGGTCAACTTCTCTGTACATGGGCCTATACACGCTTAGGTATTGGTTACAGACATGAACGGTGGGTTTTTGTAGAAACTCTGTGCTTTATAGAGGACCGTCTATCTAGTGGACTAGCAGCACTTTTCCAGTCAACCTCTAGACCACATTACGGCAGTTCAGAGAGCTTCTTTTCCCTGAGATTCTTAAAGGGCTAAAATAGTGCAAGCGACTTGGTTGTCTCTTACTTTGCCTTAGGTGAAGGATATGGCCAAAAATAAGGCAAAATAATAGGATGGTCGTCAATGTCTTCAGTGGACCAGATAAATCCTGCACACAACTATGTAGACGGCCACACACATGCATCGTCCCATGTGTAGCTCGTGCTTGTGCATCTGGTATTTGAGCCAATCGTCTACTGCGGTCGCCCAGAACATGGATTCCAACATCGAGCTCTACTGCAGACCTGGGCTCGGTCTAGGGTCATGCCCGTCGAATATGGCTCGGAGTGCCCGCCTTTCAGCTAAGCCACATAGTCCAAGGGGGCATCAGGTGCCAGTGTGTTGTTCACCGTATACGTACTTTATCCTAAGCGGGGGGCCTAGGCCCGCAAGCTGTATGCATCCAATCTACTAACCCCTCGTTGAGGGCGACTTGGCATTGCTACATTGCCCGTGACTAAACTGGTTAGAGAGTGTTTTTGAACTAAAGACAGTCTGTCGTACCCATGGTCCACGAGATGCACGACTGAAAACAGAGCAAATCTAATGCACTCGGGTGAGAACGAAGTTGAGCCCCTGGTGATCTGCTGGCATCCACTCAGTGTCCTCCGCGTCCATCCCCCATTCCTTCAAGTCTACCTCGGTCGCTTCCACCTTCCAGTCGGTGCTAGTCTCACGCGAAATTTCCCGCCACATCTTCAGAAAACTATCGCGGTTGTGGTAGAACATCATCCCCCATGGACGCATATACTCCCGGGCTCGGCGCCGTGACTGCTGATATCCAATCAAGACAGTTCCAAGCTTGGACAGGGCCACGATGCGCTTGCCTGCCTGTTTTTGTCCCTCCCAAGAGAAGAGATGGAGGAACTGCCCAGTGATCATAATATCTACCTGACCGTACAACTTCTGAAGACCAAGGCAGTCATCTTCGTGTAGAAAGTTGCCTGGAATAAAAGTTGCCAACAACTGATCGCGATCTCGATAGAGCTCGTATCCCAAGAGCCACAACTGCGGACTCAGATCGAGCGCCCACATCCGGCTGGACGGAACGCCGCAAGCTGCCAGGAGTCGAAGATTCTGGCCAAGGCCGCACCCAAGATCCAGCACAATGCCTCCCTGGCGCGCGAGCTCAACCACTCGCCGGAACTGGGGAAACGCGGCGATCCCCGGCAGGAGAAACATCCATTGGCCGATGCAGGGATATTCACCGTATTTCCACGCTTTGTCGCGCTAAGGCAATGTCTCAGATTCAGCTTTAGCCCGCCACTAAGAAAGAACAACTCACCACTGCATGAAGATGATTCTGTAGCTCATCACCGGGAATATTACTCCATTCTTCGAAGATCTGTTGCATGAACGGGCTGAGCCGGCGCCCAATGTTTTTTTTGTACCAGACAGACGTGTCGATCGACATCTTCAGCTGGCTTGGGCCTTAGGTGATTGAGCCGTACAGAGAAATCTCAGATTCTACAGCGATTGACTGCGGAAGGTGGGGGGATTAAATGTACCGAGACGGGGAAGAGGTTCCTTCAGTATTAAAACGTGCTATTTTTGTTTTATCTATCCTGCTGCTTGATGTTCCGGCTGTTTTTCCCGTGCATGCAGGAGAACAATAAGGTCCAGCTGACCACAAGTATAACCACGACAGGTTTCTTCATCAGTAAAATCTCCGATCTCCGCTAGAGCTTGCATGTAAGATGCACTCTCCTGAGCAATCATGTCATCCAATCTGCTACGCTCGATTCACCTTCTTCCGAGCAACACACACAGCCTTCGGCATGGACAAGCCAACCCCTAGCCGTGACTCCTCCGCCAATCCCCTAATCATCAAATCAATATTATGCGCGTCTTCCAATTTCCCTGCACATTTAAGGCGAGCTGAAAACTCCTCCATGACCAGAATGTATTGGTCCCCATTCGCCTTCCGCAACTCCACTCGGTCCGTGTAGTTGCGTAGATGCGCATCCTCAAACCCACCATGGCGCGACATCAGATGATACGGGAGATCGAGGACCCAGTCATTGCGCCCATTGGACCGGGCAAATCGCAGAAACGCATCATGAGCGGGAGTGGGCACGTCACTCATGGCATTGCTCTTGACGACCTCGCTGTCGGGGTAGTTCAGGTCGTCCCACTGGAGGTAGCCGCCCGGCTTGAGCATCTGGTGCGCCTGGTTGATGATCGGGAGAGGGTCGCTGTTCTGCACGACGAGGACTAGCAGGCGGAGGTGGACTATGTCGTATTTGCCGTGGAGGTCGCTGGGGACGGTCTCAAAGATGCTCAGCTGGCGGAGCGTAATGGGTGTGGGAAGCCATTCGGGAAGAGGGGCGTTTGCCAGATCGATGTCAAACCCATCCAGTCGGATTGACGTGTACCGCGTCACTGCAGGATCTCGGAGGAGGTCCAAGAGCCAGATCGCTGTGCCCGTAGCCAGATCAGCGATCCGGACGGGAGTGGACTCATCCTTGGGCAGCTGGATGGACGGATGGAGGTTGAATTGGAGGCTGTCTTTCCAGAGGTAGAATTGGTAGTTCAGTCGGGATGCCGCGGTGTAGCTTCGATCGAGCATGTAGTCGAGCTCGTTTCCGAGGTTGAACCCGGACTTGGTGATGTTGTCGATTTTGGCCATGTTGGGTTTCGTGTACAGGAATCTTGCAATGGGCTTCCGTTACTTGGGGTATTCTGTCTCGACAGCCCAGGACTCACCCTCATATCATGCACTATATATGTTGGCTAACAACTCCAACATACACAATATGTGCACATTCCCTGCATCTTAATGAATAATTTAGTCTATATTACGGCGCATTGTCCACAAAAGTATGACTATACCAGCTGAAATACTAGAAAAAAGGTCAGCATACGTGTCACATCGACAGCATTGTGGTAATAATAGACGACAGAGATCACATTTCGTCCGATTTGGCGCCCCACTTGGGCCGATCTTAGGAACGCCCGGCCTAGAAGACATCTTGGAGAGTAAAGGAAGGTAATACATTCAGTATTGACGTTGTCGTCCTGCAGCTATGAAGGAAGAGAAGGGTGGTGCGCTACATATAATAAGCCCTCGCGTCTTGCTCGGTAGGCTGTATAAACCTGAAGATCACTAACCGCACACTACCATCATGACGACCAAGAACCTACGACTTGGGCTAGCCATTGGCCATGGTACAGGCCGGGAGCTTATTGCGGTCTTCAAGAAGGTCATCCAAGTGTTAGCAAGGAAGCACTCTCTACATGTCGAGTTCATTGAATCATCCCGCATATACCATTCGTATCATACCCTCACTGTTTCCGGGGAAGAGAAAGACCTCATCAAGCACATCGCGGATGAGACCACGCAAGATGCCGAAGAGTATCGCACTTTTTGCGAGACAGCTGCAGCCAACGGGATTGCTGCAATATTCCGCACGGCAATCCACGCCCAGTCTCTCTATCTCGTTCGGGATCAACTGAAGGCCGTCAAGATTGAACATTTTAACCTGGGCGACTCTAATGCCCTGCTCTTCATTCGGGATGAAGCCCAGGGCTTCTACGCAGGTGTCAATGAGTATGACAATGGCAACCATAGCATCACGCGAAGCAGCCCCTTCAGTCGTTCCACCTTTGATCAAATCCTGGCATATGCTCTGGAACGAGCCGCAGAGGAGTGGGGTGTGGAAAATGTCCCCAAATCAGTCACGCTTGTTTACAAGTTCCACCTCTTCGACGGGGTCTTCCAAGCCTGGGCACCACATTGGAAGTCCCGCTTTGGCATCGATGTCGACTTCATCCAGCCGGACACCATGAATCGGAATTTAATGGCCTGGGGCATTCAGGGCCGCCGCATCATCATTGCGGGCAATGAGTACGCCGACATCATCCAGCCTGTCTTCTTGAAATGGTTCTGCAATTCCACCATTGAAACTATGTACGCGGAGAATGTGTACCTGAGTCCCAACCTGCATCGCCTCAGCGAGTACCAGACGGTGCATGGGTCTGCGGATGCCATCGCCGGCCAAGGCCTAGTCAATCCGTTTGCTACCATCCGTGCCGCGGCTGCCATTCTCGAACGGCATGGAGGATGCTCTGGCACTGGATTCCAACGCCACACGGAAAAGGCGATTGAAAGTCTCCTCTTGAGTAGGCTGACCACTCCTGACCAGGGCGGCTCGTGCAGCACAGATGCGGTAGTCGAGCATTTTCTGCGCGCGATTACTGATCCTATGGCTCCCAGGACACCTGTTGCCCACAACAATACAGCGGCGTCAGGACTAATAAGCAATGCCTGGATCGGTAAGAAGTCCGCCGTGGTAATAGTGGACTACCAGAACGACTTCATCGCAAGCACGCCCAGCCCTGCCGTGTCAGAACTGTCCAACACCATTCCCCGGCTCATACAATGCGCCCGCAAGGAGGGACGCGAAGTCATCTATGTGCGCTTCCTGGGAAACACCAGCTTTCAAGGACCCAGCTGGCAGCAGCGGGATACACTGCTAGGAAAATCGGAGAAATGCGTCGAGGGCACCTGGGGAGCGGAGCTTGGCCCGGGCGTCACCTCTGCGCCTGGCGAGCGGATCTTTGACAAGAAGGCCTTATTCGATCCTTTCCTGGTTCCGGAGTTCTCAGAGTACATAGCCAAACAGGGCTTGGAGCATCTGGTGTTGGCGGGATTGTACAGTGATGTCTGTATTGATGCCACGGCTCGGACGGCCTTCCAAAAGGGACTGTGGGTCACTGTTGTTGAGGACTGTACCGCTGCTTTGCATTCAGATCAGGTCGATCATTTGAGGTTTATGGAAAAGGTGTATGGGGCACGGGTTGGGAAGGTGGCCACCTTGTTCGGGGTGAAGGCTTAGCTGAGTCGTGAGAGGTGTCGGATGCGACTTGGAATTGAGTACGTAGCTGTTAGGCCAGACCAGAGTTCGAGGTTGGCGGAATCGTGTCTTGTGGAGAATTGGGATCTTGGGAGAAAACGCGTCGTTCATTCGAAGTGAGTTGGATCCGGTAGTGTTCACAAGCAAGATTCCGTGCTGCTTAGCTACAAAGGTAATAAGTGAGGATTCACCACCTAGAAGAGTCGCGCATTGCTGATAGCCCTCGACCAATCCATATGACCCCATACTGAATATTTCCAACGATATAGCGCGCCGCGCGTTGGTCACAAGATGAACTCGTCATAATCTTTTAGTTCTCCTCCAGACGTATCACCACCATATCAATATCGCAGCTCCTGTGCCGTCGCGGATATCAGCCTACATCTTCGGCGGTTGAGCGAAGTTATGTGAGACTGTGATCACCCGTCTCTTCAATTGAAGGAGGTGGAATATGTACGCTGTGATAGATTGCTTGATGATATTTTAGGCAGCACTGAGAAAGTCAATCTTCTGATAGTATTTGTGCCAGAATTGCTGAAATTATGGCACAGGTTGGTTATCCTCCTAAGCAAGACTTAATTTTCCTCTCTTCACTTTCCTAACCTTCTTTAGTACCAAAGTGTTTAGCAGGTATTATGGTCATATTAGGAACTAGCATTAAGGAGGTCTATGATACAGTAAGTTATTTACAAAAATTCAAGCTGGCCTTCGGAACGCAGCCTGACTAGCTGTGCTTATCAAGCTTGGACCAACAATAATTACACAATCCTAGTCACCAGATCAAGCTACAATAACAGAAATTACTTCAGCTCAAGCCGTCTTCTCCGTCAAGACCAGCAAAAAGCGACAGCGAGGGCGGATTGTGGAACTGGGCGAGAAAATACAGTGTTAGCAACGGATGGGTTGAATGTCTTCAAATCATCTGATACGAGTCTCCCAACTCTCCTAGCCATCCTAATACCCCTCCACAGCGCTCATATGCTAGCAACAAGAGGTAAAGCCCACATTTGGCCAACCCGGACGGACATTACCCGGTTTTGGGATCATCACGCTGGGAACACCTTGGAGAACAACATCAAAGGTGGAGTGTAAGTTTTTCACCACCTACTTAACGCATCACTAATCTCTGTTTCAGCTGGCGACACGAAGAAACGCCAGTACAAGTTAGCCTCAATTCCCTCTACCCCCCAACGCCGCTGTTTAACGCAGATGAGCTCAATAATCTGTTTGCAAACGCTGCCCACACGAGACGCCAGGCCAACTCTGCCAACATGGAAGATGCGTCTGGTAGATCCGAACAACTTAGCATCGCGAGAGCATCGCAGCAAAGAGGCAACAGAGCTCCCTAAGGCCTCCAAATGATAACAACAGGGGCTTGTAGCAGAGAGCCACGGACCAGACCTGTAACATCACTCCAACGCCCAGACAGAGGGCTGGAACGGATGCAACTAAGTCAATGTGGCGAAGAACGTCCAGAATATTGGGGCGTGAGCAACCCGTTCCTTGTAAAAGGGCTGCTCACTATATTAATTAGTATAATATTGTAATAGTAGCTAGT